TGTGTGTGTGTGTGAGTATGTGTGTGTATGTTTGGGTGCCTGTGTGTGTCTGTGTCTGTGAGTGTTAATGCAAATAACTATTCATTCAATCCGGTGATCCATTTACGGTGTCTTGCCTATGCCTCCTTATTCTGGAACTGTATAAAATTAAAAGACTTTTAAAAAGGAGTTTTTTACCACTGTTATCTTTACATGCTTATCTAAATCTCCTCATTTTATATTCACTGTATATCCAGATGTTCATATCGTGCAATAACCATAAAAAAATATTAACAAGGTTTCCAAGAATCTGACCAATCTCCACGACGCAAAATGATATACTCACTCGGACGGCAACAGTAGCAGCAATCCCCAGTGCAGCCACCTTTCGTTGCATAAAAACCTCTTCTTTGACAGAAATAAGGATGTCCCACGCAGTATCCCCCGGCTGCTTTGCAAGACCATTCTATTTCGCACTTTCTGCAACACCTGGAAACACGTATCGAGGAAGAGATGGCTGATTCCCAGTCTTAGATATTTTAATCAAATCAATTTTCGAGACATTTGGATTATGAATGAAGCTCCGAAAGAGAAAAAATATATATATATACTTTTTCATGGAAAGTTTTGTTTGGTGTATAGATGTCTCGGCGTTTTTACCTTGTGAGTCGTGTCGATTGCGTCAGTGTATTTTATGGAAAGTTTGATGAAATGAAAATCAAGTATTTCTCGCATATATAGCAAATGAAATAGTGTGTCTCTCACCGTATAACAGCAGACAAGAGGAAATCAAGAGCACAGGAGGTATATAAGTCACTCACTGACAATAAGGACTGTGACACTTGACTGAGACCGGGTACTCGTCCCACTGGCATTGCTTCCTGCACGTAGCACCTATCTCGTGAAAACAGGGTGAACATACTTTGACGTTACAGTCTGTAAATAGAGAGATCGCGATGAAAACCGTATATCCAGTAGCAAGTTGCAGTCGCGAATTATACAGTACTTTCAAGTCTTACAAGCTGTGGAATAGAACTAGATAGCGGTGGGTAAGTGCGAGATGAATATAAATAAGAGTGAGACATAGGGTTGGTGATAGTAATGGTAAGTTGTTTGCATACCAAGCAAGAATATGCCAGTAAAGAGATACGATAACGGCATGAATGAATAAACGTTCCTGTAAGAAGTGTGCGTGTGTATGTATGTTATGTATATATATATATATATATATATATATATATATATATATATATATATATATATATATATATATATATATCATACATGTGATATATGTTATATACGTGATATATAGTTTATAATTTATTTTCTTATCGAATATATCACGAACATTTATGGTATTCCCATACATTTTTTTCTCTTGTGGCCAGTTCATGTTATTGCTTTCCACACGAAATCCGAGCAGCTGGGAAGAAAAAAGAACCCTTAGTTACAGCAAATATTCACATGCTTCTAGTTCCCCAGGAATGCTGCAAACTGTCTCGTTTTGAATTGGTTTCAACAATTTTGACCTGTACAACAGTGTCGTAAGCCACCTATGAAAATGTTGCCTCGGTGGAACCCCGTATTATGATAGTTTTTTTTCTAATGAACTTATTTAACATATATGTAATGAAATTCTCGCGAAAATAAGAAAACAAAAATCAAAAGTTTATGTTACTTGCGTCTCTGCGAGTCTTCTTGGCTAAGATGACAACCAACAATACTTTTTTTTAGAATATTTATGTTTGGTTTAGTAAATAGGATAAAACCCACGTCCACAAAATAAGGAGAAAAAATATGACAGAATCGTTTTTCTTAACTGGTCCGGATATGGTGGAATCGGATATTATTGTTGTTATGACCTTAGATATCGACTCCTTGTATTTATGTAGTTTTTCGCATTTGTATGTTGTGTATTACTTTGTTCTAGGGCGCTATCTATCACGCCAGAATCCGCGATTTTCCCTGCGGTATGTTAACCTCTTGAATTAAAGGTATTATATGTGATAGGTCGAAGAGGATGTATATATCAATGCGCGTGCAAAACGTCATCGTATGGTTGCTGACACATTCTTACAATCGCAGAAGCAGTCATCAGCCTTGTCCTGTACCTGTAACTACATCAATAACTGTAATCGTAACATTAACCGAACCGATACATACTCAGGCAGCAGCCGCAGCAGCGCTGGTCGGGGCAGTAACTAGGGAGGAAATAGTCGCAGCGAATATGGCCGTTTTCGTAGAGAAAACTGTGACGGCAATTACTCCCGTGGCTCTTGCACAGTCTGTATGGAAGTGCAATAGTGTGATTAGTAACGAATAAATGTCATGTTTTTGACGTCAACAACCAATACTCTACAGCCTAGTGTGTGTGTGTCTACGTGATATATATATATATATATATATATATATATATATATATATATATATAGAGAGAGAGAGAGAGAGAGAGAGAGAGAGAGAGAGAGAGAGAGAGAGAGAGTGTTAGATATTTATATATATATCACGCATTGTGTGTGTGTGCTGTATTTACGTCTTTGAGAGGGGCTCCTCTCGGTAGCTGATTCATCTTTTAAAGACATATATATATGTTATTCTATAAGTACGTAAGACTACCTTTTATGCTACGAGTAAATACCACCAACAAACAGGATACCAACAACAGACGTTACCCGTACCTGGAGTCGTCACAGCAGTGAGGTTCTGGAACCAAGAGAGCAGAATCACTGGTGCAGTTTCCTACAGACGGTCCAACTTCCCTAATCTCGAAAGTGTTATCTTCAATAGCCTTCTTGTAAGCGTATTCGCATCTTCCACACAGGTCCGTCGCTTGGTCCTTAATAGGGGGAAATACGTGTTACTTCTCAGCAAAGACAGAGGGAAGTTCGACAGGCTGCTCGCTATGTCAGGATCTGTATTCGGGTTGAGAAGCATTTAATGTTTATGGACATTTGCTGTAAAAAAAAAAAAAAAAAAAAAAAAAAAAAAAAAAAATCTGGGTGTAAAATGCCTTGGGTTTAGAAAGTTATTTTTGCTTTAAAGCGCTTAATGGGTTTAGAAATTGCGTGAAGTTGCCTTCTTGAACAGAACACGACTACAGAGCGTATGCAAACAAACTTGATTTTTTCATGGAATTTTGTAGGTGTGTGTGTTAATTGTCCCCGTGAATTAATAACCTTCATCTAGCGTAGCTATGGCTTTGCATAAGCTCTGGAGAGTTTTTGATAAATGCATGATAACAATGCATATACCAAAAGATGGTGTATAGAAACATTTTTTAAAATTCATATTAAGTCGATTTATATCTAAATGTTTCTCTGTCTAGATCAGTAACTGCCTATCTATCTATCTATCTGTATGTCTCCCTGTCTCTATCTTTGCGTTTGTCTGTACCTACCTAGCTATTCATCTATCTGTCTGCCTGTCTGTGTTTTATATTCATCTAAGTGTCTATCTATATATATGCACAAATATATGTCTTGCCCCGTTAATCAATTGCTTTATTGAAACCTCAGATACACGCATTCATGACATATCTGTATGCGATCTGCAGATGTACGTCGCAGGACAAATTATTTTTCAAAACATTTTAATGAACGTGTCAGCAGCAGCATCGTAATGCATTATGTATGATAAAATTAACAATTTCTGCTAATATGGCTTTGTTAATTATTACTAAGTGATGGCATTTATTAATTTTTTTGTTTTAATTATTAAATGCTGAGAAGAAATTAAAGTCAGCCTAGAATAAGAAATAGCTAAAATATATACAAACACATTTAAAATAATACTTTCATGTAATGACACAATCAAATCGCATATCAACAACTAAAAAAAATCTGTGCCGATCTGTGAATAACCCTTTATAACTTTTAACATAGAATTTTGCCTTTTAATATCATATTCATTATCATCTTTTGTTGTTTTCATTATTATTTCTACTGTTATTATTAATACCATTGTGGTTGTTACTGATGCTGTCATTATCAATATCATGATCACTACTACAATTATTATTGAGAATAAAGATGATGATAATGATGATAATAACATGTCTTCTCCTTTTTTATAATGATAGTAATTATCATCATTTATCACTCACCACTGTCACTGTTTAATGATGTGTTGCTATTAATTTTAGAAGGACGTGGCGAGTACAGCCACTGACAGAGGGGGGAAATATGGTCATTATTATCATTATCATCGTTATTTTCTCTCTTTTGGTATTCACTTACTTGGCTGAAGGAAGTTCCAACGTAGAAGAGGAGACAGAACAAGGATAGTGTCTTTGCGTTCATCGTTCGTGTTGTTGTTGTCGTTGTTGTTGCTGTTGTTGTTGTTGCTTACTTTTTTTCTTTCCTGTACCTGAGGGAAGGAAGGTAATATTATGTATAAGCTTATCAATTTTTAAGTTATTTGAAGTTTAAATACAGTACTGTTCTGTGTAGTTGTTATTGTTTTGCTTTTTTAATGTTTGAATTAAACTCAGAGAGAGATTCATTTGACTGTTAATGCTATTCTGTATTTGAAATTTCATATGAAGAACTATGCCATCCATCGACTAAATGCTAGGAACTTATAAGATATTTTGTATTATCATTATTTTTCATTTCTTTTGCATTATTATGATGATAAATTAATTAAATTCTGAAAAAGAGGAGTATTAATAGAAATTGCTTTGGAAAATTAGAATGTGTGTATGCATATGTGTATATATACATATATATGTTAGTGTGTATATATGTGTGTGTGTGTATATATGTGTATATATATATATATATATATATATATATATATATATATGTGTGTGTGTGTGTGTGTGTGTGTGTGTGTGTGTGTGTGTATGTGTGTGTGTGTGTGTGTGTGTGTATGTATATATATATATATATATATATATATATATATATATATATATATATATATATATGTATGTGTGTGTGTGTGTGTGTGTGTGTTTATATATATATATATATATATATATATATATATATATATATATATATATATATATATATATGTATGTATGTGTGTATATGTAGTGTGTAGTGTGTGTATATATATATATATATATATATATATATATATATATATATATATATATATATATATATATATATATATATATATAGACACTATATATACAAACCACTAAGAATATACACATACTCGTAAAAAGAAAAAATGCCTGAAATACGAGTGCAAGCAAAAGCAACTTGACGCCGGCTTGAGCCAACTGATGTTGCTAGCCTCGGTATACAGTATTTATGTGTATGGATATTGTTGCCAAAAGGTTCCATACAAGATAACTCCACGTTTTACGAGTAACCTGAAGAGGGGAATAGATAAAAGCTCAGGATTAAAACATTAGAGATTTGTTGCTTGTATTTTTGTTTTTTGATTTTTAGATTATCGTTGTGTGGTTTTGAGTGAAAAGTAAGATAAATTGTTTCGAGGATAAACTAGGTAGGTGTTTCTGATACCTCGGTCGATCCTTTTAATTAAGGTCACCCTGGGAATTACGCCTTTTTTTTTTTTTTTTTTTTTTTTTTTTTTTTTTTTTTTTTTTTTTTTGACACATGTATGATTTTTAACTCCATCAGCCAAACATATATTTTCGCGAAGGTCAAGGGCATATATTTAGTATTCATGACATCTCATTTTTTTTCCAGGTTTATCTATTAGCAAAAAAATTAAAATCAGCTCAAATTGCAGAAAGAAAAACATCAACCTACGTAGAAGTAAATTAGTCAATCATGTGGTTATATTTTTAAATGAAATAAAAAAGATGATTATTTCTATCACGAAATGACTGACAAGTAATTCTCACTAATTAAAGGTATAGTTAGTTACATTAATGCTTAATTCATGGCGTAGACAATCACTACCAAGCTGATTAGTAGTAAATTAAATTGTTCATTATAAAATTTATTATTCATGGCGTTCGTTGATGACAGATATATCTATTGTCTTCCAAATTATTTCATGCGATTATCCTTTAAGAGACATGGTAAATGCATATAAGAATTTAGCATTTTTGTTGAAACAGATTGTGTCACAGATCCATCATAGAATTCCTGAACTTTTAGTATAGCTATGATATTACTAATGATGAATATGGTAATATTGATGACAACGACAATAATGATAAGGCATAATGATGTTGATGATGCATAGAAGAGGCTCAATGTCAGGTAACACCCCTACCTTGGTCCTCTGCCCTGCCTCTACTAATTCTGCAAGGTCTTTTCTTCTCCCTCTTTCCTCTTCCTTCTTCTGTCCACTTGTCCTAATGGTTAACTATTTTTTTTTTACCCTTTTTTATACTCTATTTTATCATGATACTATATCATCTTTCATGTTTGTCCCATTTTTTTTACCATTAAGTATTATGGAAATCCACAAACATCGCCTTATTGAACCAAAATATCTTCCATACCTGTGGACCCCCCCCCCCCAAGCTCCACCCTATCGTCAAATTTTGAATGCGTCGCTAATGACCTTAGATGTTATTGTGGCAGGAATTTTCAATAAATAATGATGATGATGATGATGATGATAACAATAACTATAATGAAAATAGTGATAACTAGGAAACACTTTTTAAAAAGAAAATTAATATCCTAACAGATACGTAACGAACAATGCAGGCAATTAATTTTTACAATCTTTTCAATTAATGAATAAACCATTTTATCCCACCCCAGTTTTCTAATTGTCCATCTCTGTGGGACCCTGTGGTTTTCAGTAATTATCTGCCGTAGAATAAAAAAAAAAAATAATTAATTGAACATAGATAAATAGATGAATAAACAGTCGGTATGTACATTTAAAAAGTACATGTACTTGTTTTAGTGACTGGAATTCAGTGATTCGTAATTTGAGAAGTTACATGTTCAAAAAGTAAGTAAACAGTCTTGTTGAAAATATTCTTTTTTTGGATTTCCAAAAATAATATATCATTACTGTCTTTTACTATGCTGTGTTGACGATTACAGATAAGTCTAATGTGCGGGGCCAACTTGGGAGATACTGCTGCAAATTGCAAGAAGTTGATCCTTGTTTTTCTCTCTCCCTCTCTCTTTATCTTTATGTATTTATGTCTCTCTTTTGAAACGAACTGAATAGAAATGAACTGAGAGAAAGAATCAGCAATAAAAACAATGAAACATATATAAAGGACTACATTATCCCCACCCTCACTATCATCATCATCATCATTATCATCATCATCATCACCATCATCACCAATCATCATCATCATCACCATAATCAATCATCATCATCATCACCACCATCATCTTCATCATCATCATCGTCATCATCATCAATCATCATCATCACCACCATCATTTATCCAGCTTGCCTATATTGCTCAGAAAAAAGTTTTTTCCCCTTACCACTTTCACTTGGCCTCCCATTCCCTCTGATCTACGTGTCAGGTGTATGTTGTTTTTTTATCACGTGCTATATCGAACAGACGCAAATTACATGATGATTAAGTATCGTGTTTTTTGTTTTGTTTTGTTTTTGATGAATTATTATGAATTTTCGGTATATTGTTTCCCCAGGCCATACGGGAAAAAAAATATACAAAGGTGTATATTTATTGAGCGGTCAGGTCACGTCGGTGATTAGGCGTGCGACGACCGTGGATAGTTCAATCGCGATGTCAAAGTTGTTGGTGAACGTATGAACGCCGCTTCTACCATCTTCCTTTGTCATCTGTTCCTGTAAGTCTTGAAGAAGCAATATAACGAAAATGTCTTAGGTTTGTCATCAGTATTTTCTTGTTCGTCCCTTCGTTGTTCTATTTGCAATTCAAT